GGCGGCGGGCGGGGCGCGGAGGGCAGACCCTGCCCTTCCCTGCTGCTGCCCGCCGCCGTGCCGCGCCTGCCTCCGCTCCCGGCTGGCGTCTCGCCGCGTTCGGGAGGCGGTGGCTTGTCGGGCCGCCCCTGTGGTTTGCCATTGACCCACCACTCCCTTGGGCTCCCCCGCGGCTGTTCTCCGGGTTCGCCAGGCTGTGACTTGCCTTTGCTGGCACGGACTAGGGGGAACCGATCATCATACCTTACCAGTTGGCACTGTTCGCAAAGACCTGGGTGCTGCATGTGAAGGGAGAACCCGGCTTGACCTCCTTGATCTGCCCACCCAACTGGCGAGCCGTAGACACTCCAAACCCGAACAAGGGCGTTTCAGAGAAAGTGGTCAGGGAGAGAGACGTGGAGCGAAAAGCAGTCCGAGAAGACGCTTCAATTCTTTGTACCGAGAGGTGGAAAGCCTTTCACAGAGAATGTAGATTTAGACAGCAAACTGAAACCTAGAGAATTGAGTGGGTTTGCTTCTAAGGTTACATAGTGTCTTGATTTTTAATTCACTGGTGGCCTTTTCAAGAGGTTTCTTTTGCTACTGAATTGTAGAATTGTTTTGGAAATCTTATAGAGTCACTACTTGTCAGTTACTTCTACAGGCAGTTTTTGTCTTCATATTCTTGACATTTGTATGTTACTTGGTTGTTGTTTTTTTTAAACTCTTTCCACAATTTTAATTCCTTCTAATGTTCTTTTCTCGGATAACTACTTCTTGTTCTGTGACATTGTTTCTGATTCTTAAGTGACCAATTTTTTTCTCATATATGTACATCTTTGAAAAACATAAAAAACATTCATAAACACATAGGTACGTTTGGTCCTGGGAATTGAGCTGCTTGCGCGGTAAGCATGTACTCTGTCACTGAGCCAGGAGATCTTACTTTTGAAAATTTATTTTAAACAAGTATTGTAGCATGTCTTTACTGTTGTACAAGTAAATCATACATGAGAAAATAACTTCTGCGCTCTTGCACGCTGTGGTTAAGTCAGACTAAAAGATTTCAAGAGATGGCAGTCTTAGTTCTTGTTTATCACATGTATTTCCTCCAGTGAAATAGGCCTGCTTCAAAATGATATAGTCAGAGCTATAATACTTAAATTGGTTAATCTGGAATGCAGACACATAGTTGGTTTTCTGAATTGAGATGATTAAGATGGATTTTTTTGTTTCTTTAAAATATATTGCAATTCATGATGCAAAACACTATTTCCACTTCACCTTTTCCCCAATATCTTTTCTGTATAGTACCTTGTGTATTTGCTGACTTCTTTTTGCTGGTACTAGGATTTGAGACTCCACTTGTAGGGCTCTACCACCTGAGCCGTGCACCTGGATTTTTCTGCTTTAGTTTTTCAGATAGGGTCTTCCATATTTGCCAGGCCCAACTGTACCTCTATCCTCCTATTTATGCCTATGATGACAGGTGTATACCACCCTGCTCAGCTCTTGGTTGAAATAGGGTCTCAATATTTTGTAACAGCTGGCCTCAGACTGAGATTCTTTAATCCTGAGAAGCTGGGATTACTAGCAAGTATCATTCATTGTACTTTTTTTTTTTTTGTGGTACTGAAAATTGCACCCAGGGACTCAAATATGATAGACAAGTGCTGTACCACTTGAACCATACCACAATATTTTTTTCTTGTCGGTTGTGGGGCTTGAACTCAGGGCTTGGGTGCTGTCCCTGAGCCTCTTTGTGCACCACTTCCAGTTTTGGAGTGGTTAATTGGACTTTTCTGCCTCAGATCTCAGCCTCCTGAGTAGCTAGGATTACAACAGGTGTGAGCACTGGTGCCCAGCTTCAATTTTTTTTTTTTTAAACACATAATCTATCTACAGTTTTTGTGTGTGTTTGCCCATGCTGGTTTTGGGTATTGAGCTCAGAGCCTCCACACTCTTGTTCAGCTTTTTGCTCACAGCTGGCATTCTACTACTGACCATGCCTGCATTTCCTACAGTCTATTTGTTTTGGAGACATGATCTCATAGCTCAGACTGGCCTTAAGCTGGAGATGCTTTTGCTTCCACCTGAGTGCTGGAATTGCTGATGTCTTCCACAGTACCTGGTTATAATCTACAATATTATTTATTTATATTTATTAGTTGTACTTATTATTTAATGGAAGATAAGGAATCTCATGGACTTTTGTATTCCTATCTTTCCCAATTTTCTTTCTTTCTTTCTTTCTTGATGCTGGTTCTGGGGCTTGAACTTAGGGCCTGAGCTAAGTGCTGATGCTGAGATTTTCTTTCCTCAAGGCTAGAACTCTACCACTTGAGCCACAGCTCCACTTCTGGCTTTTTAGGGGTTGATTGGAGAAAGAGTCTCTGGGAGCTGGGTGCCAGGGGCTCACACCTATAATGCTATCTACTCAAGAGGCTGAGATCTGAGGATAATGGTTCAAAGCCACCCCGGGCAGGAGAGTCTGTGAGACTCCTATCTCCACTAAACCACCAGAAAGCCAGAAGTGGTGCTGTGGCTCAGGTGGTAGAGCACTCACCTTGAGCCAAAGAGCTGAGGGACAGCACCCAGGCCAGAGTTCAATTCCCATGACTGACCAAAAACAAAAACAAAAAAAAAACTCTTGGATTTTCCTGGTAGAACTGGCTTCAAACAGGATCTTTGGATCTCAGCCTTCTGAATAGCTAGGATTATTGGTGTTTGCCACTGGCACCTGGCCCAATTTAATCTTTATTTTTTGACAAAAGAATAGGAGGGCTGGGAATGTGGCTTAGTGGTAGAGTTCTTGCCTAGCAAGCATGAAGCCGTGGGTTCGATTCCTCAGTACCACATAAACACAGTAAAAGCTGGAAATGGCACTGTGGCTCAAGTGGTAGAGCGTTGGCCTTGAGCACAAAGAGGCTCAGAGACAATACCCAGGCCCTGAGTTCAAGCTCCACGATCAACAACAGCAACAAAAGATACTGTGAAAATAGTACTGTTTAAAATACTTAAAAAAGCCGGGCACTGGTGGCTCATGCCTGTAATCCTAGCTACTCAGAAGGGTGAGATCCAGCCTGGGCAGGAAAGTCCATGAGACTCTTTTTTTTTTGGGGGGGGGGGTCCAGTTGTGGGGCCTGAACTCTGGGCCTGGGCGCTGTCCCTCAGCTCTTCAGCTCAAGGCTA